TTATTAATTGCAGTTGAACAACCGTAATTTTTCCTTACTTCATTTCAATTATTAAAAGTTTGATCCGAAAAGATTGATTGTGCATCTGAAGACTGTCAGCTATCAAGAAAAGAGTCATTTTCTTGCTGACTCACCAGTCGTTAGAAATGTTTAAGGAGAGTGTGTGGTGAAAGACATATGTCTGTTACAATATCTCGTGTCTGCAGTAAGAGCTAGAGAGAACTCGGTCTAAACGAGAATACAGTGACAGGACAGAGAGAACACAGTATGCCCTGTCATAGCTCTTTCAAAAGATTTAAACTAACATCTTACACGTGAGACAGCGGTATGCCTCACATAACAAAGCACTGTCGTTCTTTTCATTGGATACATGATTCGAACTGGGTTCGACGGACGAAGAGTTCAATATGTATCAATATGTGTGCGCATTCACGTACAATGCAAATAATAAATCGATATATATATATATATAGAGAGAGAGAGTTTGGCCAAGTTGTTAATTAAACGTAATTAAAGACGATATGACAATGAGGTTTTCCCCAGGGAACATTATCGCAGGAACGATCATCGCGATGACGAGATTGTCTTTGTTTAATTAATGGTGTCATCTGGTCATTATTTATTCTACAATTTTATATACCTCCGCTTACAGTTGATATATCTCTAGACTGTTCGTCGCCTGTAAATTTACATAACATTGTTTGTCTAAAATGATTGATTTTTCCTGTCAGTTCTTTTCCACCCAAAAAAATAGATTCTGCCTGGAAACAAAACATATTGCATCACTTGTTTGATTGAATACTAAACGATCAAGTTTCGTGCTATAAACTTACAAAATACTTTGATAAACTTTTTGATTTATTTACTAAAATGTTAAGCACATTCCTCAACGTAATATGATGCAACTTTAATATCATATTTGTACTTCAATATTAATTTGTTATGAATTCCGTCCGGAAGTCATTCATGGGGGATAAAGAACAATACAGATATTTATTAAAGGAGACAATTTTTTTTATATTTATTTATTTGTTGTATTTTCATAAAGAACATGAAATATTGTTTCGATTTTAATCCGGTAAGATATTATGATTTACTTGTCAATATTAGGAAGGCGGATATCACCTTCATCTTGCTGGAGCGATAATACCATGACGGTAATAGTGATCTGGCCATGGCGACTGTTTGGAAAGTTTGTCGAAGGTTACGTTTAATGTATATTAGTATAACCCGACTGATCAGCCCTGTTCATCACCTCTCCAGACAGAAGATCTTGTTTAATATGGTAAACAAACCACGACCTCTTACAAAGGTGGAGTACAATAAAGTATAGTAGGTTCCATCAACATGTGGAATTATATAGCATTATATAATTATATGGTGTTGTATTTACACTGTACTGATATTGGGCGGATAGATGAGGAAGGAATCTGAAGTATACACACGATGGCTAAATTGCACGTGCTTTAAACAGAGGGACGGGTTATATGGGAGATATGTCATATTAACAGCCTACTTTCCCAGGTAATGACCTCCACTTAGGACCTCGCCACTCCACGCGCGGCCTTGACCAAGTTGTACAATCTATTGTAGGCATCATCAGGAGTCTTGACCAAGTTGTACAATCAATTTGTAAGCATCATTAGGATGCTTGGCCAACTTGTACAATTTAATGCAAGCACTTACAGGCGCTTTGGCCATCTTTTACCATATAGTACAAACACTAACCGGCGCCTTGACCAACTTTTACCATCTAGTGTCAGCACTAACAGGCACCTTTACCAACTTTTACCATCTAGTGCAAGCACTAACAGGTGCTTTTACCAACTTTTACCTTCTAGTGCCAGCACTAACAAGCGCCTTTACCAGCTTTTACCGTCTAGTGCCAGCCCTAACAGGCGCCTTTACCAACTTTTACCATCTAGTGCAAGCACTTACAGACGCCTTTACCAACTAGTGCAAGCACTTACAGGCGACATGGCCAATATTTACCTTCTAGTGCAAGCACAAACTGGCGCCTTGACCAACTTTTACCATCTAGTGCAAGCACTTACAGGCGACTTGGCCAATTTTTACCTTCTAGTGCAAGCACTAACAGGCGCCTTTACCAACTTTTACCATCTAGTGCAAGCACTAACAGGCGCCTTGACCAACTTTTACCATCTAGTGCAAGCACTAACAGGCGCCTTTACCAACTTTTACCATCTAGTGCAAGCACTAACAGGCGCCTTTACCAACTTTTACAATCTAGTGCAAGCACTAACAGGCGTCTTGACCAACATTTACCTTCTAGTGCAAGCGCTATCAACATGAGTACCGACCAAGTTGCACAATCTAGTGCAAGTACCAACAACAGTCTTGACCAAGTACAAGCAACAAAAGGTGTGTGAACCCAGTTGCATTGTGCAATTATGAATATATAGGTTAAATATTTATAATTGACACGATAGATAAATGCATGTTTACAATACCGTGGTGATTACAGTTTACGATTGTATTTATTGACACGATAGATAAACACATGTTTACAATACCGTGGTGATTACAGTTTACGATCGGAATTTACTTTATAGATCACAGGATTTCGCACTATGTTTATATTGTGCAATGATTACATAAGAGAATGGATGATTCGGAAATAGGGTTGATAACAGATAGTCTTAGTACAACTGTCCTTATCTAAGATGTTAACGGCCGGATAGAAATCTGTTTATTTTTGAAAGACGGTCGTTGTGTGATCGAACAGATGTTCCAGGACTTTGCCGGGTCAAAAATGACCTGACCTGATTCAGATCAAGATAAAGATAGCGATAAATCACCTGGGCACGGACGTCACGTGACCAGAAACACCTGACCGTGATGATAGTTGCATCAATATCAGAAGAAAGTGTTAACTAAACTCGGTCGTCTTTATCTTCCCGGGAAGTGTTTCAGACATATTCGAAAGGATGCTAGGAAAACATAAGTTTAAGATAATGAAATGTCTTACACATTCAATATAAAGGCAATTTCGTTTTATGCAGGAGCCGAGAACAATAAGATTGTCAGCTGTAACTTTCGTAAGACTTATCTGATCTCTCGTTCAATCTGTCGTCAAGTGGAACAGTGTGCAACGTGAAAAGTTGCAGTCCCGGAAAATTTTGAAACTGGAAGTCTGAAATCTTTGTACAAGTTGCTGCCCAGTTTCAGAATTCCCGAATCAGTTTTCAATAACAAAATAAAGTAAACCATTGATTGCTAGGGATGGCAATGATGACGGTCTTCACAATGACAACCAGAAATTCGGGAAAAAAAGGTAGTTCCCTTATCTGCTTCGAAACCACGGCGATGACAATATTTAGGACAAAAACAATACATGCGCTTATAAAAGTAGCCAAAGTTAACAAATTTTATAACGCATCGACAATACTTCATCTCTCTGGTCTGAAGAGTCAATTAGTATGAACATATTGTAGATGTATGAAAGAGCATTAAATGTGAAATACAAAAATAATCTTCATATGCTCTACTTTTCCGGTCAAAACAGCCATGGCATATCTTATCAAAATTGAATGAGATATTCTCACGTTGGTGTCATGTGGTCAATATGTGACATTTTTAGAGTAAGAATAAATAAAAAAATGAAAAAATACTCACCAATGAGAGCGGGAGATTTCAGCGTCAGCCCAGCACCAGTGAGTACCAGGTTGTTTTCTCTACAATTCTCTTATTGTGTTTTACGATACGTGTGTTCCCAGCCAACAATTATTAAATATATTAAGATAAGTAAATCATTTCATTATGGAATCTGAAAGTTAATGTGCAGTGCGAATTGATGAAGATATTGATTATACAGCCTTTATATTGTGTGATATTGATAAAGTGGACAAACGACAATGGCCACGCCCCTCGCCGAACGTTCGCCCCACCTCCATGATAGGCCTACCGCTGGTGATCACTTCTACACGCCTTATCTTGTACAGAGTACGATAAGATAAAGTCCTGAATATTAACCTAAATAGATATACCATTGTCAGTCCTGACCTTGATCCAAGTCCTCCAGATGAATACCCTCACTTTCCGATAGGTTAAAATCGAAACACGTGAATTCGTTTTTATTCACGATTTTTTAAGGATGTTGATAAAAAACCGTCATAAGGTTTTACGTCATACCAGATACTGTTACCGATACATTAAAACTTCAAAAGCCTTCTTAACATCGTCCTCTTCTGCCTCATCAATAAAACTCGGACTCCCATTAATTAACACATGGATAACAAATCGACAAGCTTTCATTTTACCTTTAAAACTTCATTTCTGTAATCTACTAACCTTCACTTGGATTCTTATTTCTAAAACCTCATTTCTGTAGTCATCTGCTACAAATCTACAAACCTTCACTTGGATTCTTATTTCTAAAACCTCATTTCTGTAGTCATCTGCTACAAATCTACAAATCTTCATGCAGATTCTTACTTCTAAAACCTCATTTCTGTAGTCATCTGCTACAAATCTACAAATCTTCATGCAGATTCTTACTTCTAAAACCTCATTTCTGTAGTCATCTGCTACAAATCTACAAATCTTCATGCAGATTCTTACTTCTAAAACCTCATTTCTGTAGTCATCTGCTACAAATCTACAAACCTTCATTTCTAAAACCTCATTTCTGTAGTCATCTGCTACAAATCTACAAATCTTCATGCAGATTCTTACTTCTAAAACCTCATTTCTGTAGTCATCTGCTACAAATCTACAAATCTTCATGCAGATTCTTACTTCTAAAACCTCATTTCTGTACCCATCTACAAATAACCAAAACGTGAATTCTGTCACAATTTCTTAAACAGTAATCTCTTCCGTTTGCGACTAATAGCGGTTTATAGAACGACCCCATTGATGTTTGGCACTGCCAAATTGAATAATTCTGTTTCTTGGTACTGTAGGTAAGCTAAAAATCTAGTTGGTTATAAGTTGGAACAAAACTGTAGGTAGATCATAAACAACTCTGAACATTATATCATTTTTAACACTTTTATTTGAAGAATGTCTCTGTTTCAATAGAATGATGTATGAACACATTCAAGTCCGTAGCTATGATAAAGTAATTTGACAATGAATATATACTGGACACAACAATGACAGAGATCTAAACATACACAACCCTAATTAGCATACAAATTTAAACTTATATTGCAAATTATTTGATTAATAAAAGTGCTGATTTTAACAACGCAATGTTTTTCCTAAATTGGAACTAGATGTTACAGATAAAGAGGTACACACTAAATTAAATGGTTGTAGTCTTCACACTTGTATCTAACAAGATGTTTTAAAAGCAGCAGGTAACACAGTAAAAATGTTTTCACAATGAAATATACATTACAGTTGATCCATATATAACACAATATTAATGGTAATAACAAGGATTAAAAACGTAAAAACAGAAAACAGTTCAAGTAGCGTATCACATAGTAAAAAGCATATAAAATGTTAACATTAGCACAACCGCAACATACTGGAATGTAGAAACCTGAAATACAGTGAAACCTCTTCAAATTGAATGTCTCATTAATAAATTGTCAGTGTTATAAGACAAACAGTATTAGCATCGCATAAAAAGCAGTAATTGAACTTCAAAGAGATTGACATTCAGATTAAGAAGGCATCATTGCAAACTTTGCTGGAAAGAATAAAATTGCACAACCAGATTATTTCTTTGTCTCAAAGAAACCTGTAATTATATACTTAATTGGATATTTGATTGACATTAGGCCTATATCACTATTTTCTATATTCTGTTTATTAAATACTTATCTATGATGTATTACTGTGTCAAATCACTAAAACATGTTATTTCCCCATGTATATAAATTATAACTACCATATAAAGAAAGAAAGGACATCAATCTAAGAAACATTTCTCTCCTTTAGTTTCTGGAAATGTTACTAGTAATACCTAACACTGTTTCTGATTACCACCACCATCCCTCCTCACAAATCTGTACGGAAGATTTCTGCAAATAATGAGACACTGCATTTTGTAATTAAAAGGAATGAAATAACACAGCTTGACAATTCTATGCACCAGATAGACAGTTTCGAAAATGTTGGGGCTTAACAACCCTTCCATGAGCATACAGATCCCCTGAGCAGGCTGTCGACTTGTTATATAGGTATATGTCCTCAGCAGATCTACCACAAATGACAACGGTAGTATAGCCCCTGAGCTAAGTAAATTCTAAAGAGGGAGAGAGAGAGAGTGGGGGGAGGGGGAGGGGGAATGTGGTTAAACAGTACACAGTCAACATACAGTATGAATGGCTTGAAAATTATGAAAGCTTACGTCTTCTTCCGAAGCTTTTCATCAATGCTGACTGAATTGGTATGTAGTCAAATCTGACCAGTCCAATGTTTCCAAGTTACAGGGTGACAAAGAAGCTTGGAATCAGCATCAGGTACTGATTGTAACTTCATACGATAATTATGTTTAACATTTAAATGTTCTCAGAAAATGATAAACACACACATGATTACAAACATAAATATCTGTGTCACAGTAAAATTTATATATTGTAAGTATATTTTGTGTAGCTAGAAACAGCTTTGACCAATCCTTTGTAAGTAACAGTGTAAACCTCTAGCAGAACATGTCGCCTCTGTCTTCCTACATTAACTTTTATTCCGGTTTACTCCTGTACCTTTCCTAGTCACCATAGTTATCTCCCTTTGGTCCCATTAACAACAATAGCTCTGGTACATATTTTAATAAACATTACAATAATTGTTCAGATTATGTAAGGTGACATGATCAAACAAGTCTGGTTAGTTAACAACATACAAAGGAGCTATGTACAAATGTTGATGATGTTGATGATGTTGATGATGATTGTGATGATTTCCTTGACTTCCAAAGCCAAGCCCTGTTGTTTGATGAACCCTACATCAACTTCCCTCTGTGTAGCTAAATCATCATATTGATTACACTGTAATGTCAATACTTCAATTTAAATGTCCCGGCATCAAAATTGTCAAATTGATTAGCTAAGAAATAATAAAATAACATCTAAATTTGGTTTTATGTTTGAGCAAATTAAAATTTTCCGATTAGAGTGGTCCCAGTAACACATCACTATTACCTCAAAAAGTTTTCAATGTATAAAAAAGTGAACAATTTTCTCCTCGCCACTATGAATTCTATTTCCGTGGCTTGTCTCAACAATAAATCTATCTTAAATGTATAAAAACTCAAATGATAACCTTAAACTTTCTGAAGAATGAGGAATGAGATACAATCACTTGCTCATGGGAGGTAACTCGTACAAAGTATTTATGTCTGTTCCCATATAATGGGAGGTAACTCGTACAAACCAGTTATTTTCTGTCGTTTACCACATAATAGGAAATAACTCCTGTAAGTTTACCCATTCAATTGGTGACGGACAAAAATGAGTGGAAATGAATGCGAGTAAGAACTATCATAAAATGACACTGACCTCTATAGATTAACACTGATTCTCAATTTCTAGTGCCTTGGTTTTTGTGGAATAACATATTTTCTGGCTCTTCTCCCTCTTCAACATAACTTGTTTTTCAACTTTATTTTCAAAAATTGTTTGAATCCTTCTGGTAATGTCAACAATCTGTAGAAATTAACACAGTCAAAATAGTATCTGATTCTTATGCCTATGTGTACACCTATATACATAGATTATGGCGGTACATTCCTCTTTGCTGTACCTACATATCCAGCACTATATATAGTAACACTTGAGTCCTCATTACACCTGAGGTGATTTATCAGCAGGTAAAAAGAGAGGCAATGGTTTCTCCCTTCTTGATGGAACCTGATACAGGAACTTAAGTCTTTATATCACATAATACTGTAATTCACCATGTCCACATCAGTAAGCACTCTATACAAGAGGCTCACCTGACTGGTTTCATCGCTGTGCCCTATCATGACTCTGTCCGGCAGGGCAGTATATTTCTTCCATTCTGTGCCTCCTCCACCAGCCGTACGTCATAGTCTTCACCAAGCATCAGGCTTGCAATACAGCCATCGAATCCCTGTGTAAACTTTCTCAGGGTGTTTTGTGAAACATTAGGCAAACCCCCTGAAATATAATCAAATTCAAAGTTAATCCCCCATAAAACCGAAGGCTGTAAATTCTAAATACTTAAGAGATGTATGAGAGATATGGTCATTATGTAAAACAATGTAAGAAGCAAAACATGCGTTACTATGTAGGATTAATTCACTAGGACCAGATTAGCTGAATATTAAGCAGTTATAATGTATCTGCAATAAAAACACATTTATGTCCATGCTGCTAAGGCATCCCTCTCTTCCTGTACACATATAAAAACACCTTAACTCTATACAACATTCTGTTGTGTCGGAGTTATCTCCCTTACCTATATACAACATTTTGTTGGTGTTTAGCATTGTATAGCTGCCTGGAGAGCTTCCTTCCACTATTTCGGTCTCATCCACCTCCAGGAATCCATCTTGTTTATCACTAAAAGAATAAATATTTACTCTTATTTCAATAATTTTTCAACAACAGCCTTTAGTCATTACATTGAAAGCATTGTCAGATTTATAAGAATGCTGTTTTTGAGTATATACATTACCAACTGTACACTATTCTATAATTTCATGCCAGAACACAATCTTTATGTGAGTTAGCACTCGTGTGATGATTGTAGAAATACCAAACCATTACTATTGGGCCCTGAAGGTGTTCCAGAACTTGATATTAAGCAAGTTAGCACTCATACATTTATTGTAGAGATACCCCAGCCTTACCGTTGGGCCCTGATGGTGTGCCATGCACCATCATACAGGCGTGTGTCATTATAGGAGATGACAGCCTCTCCACTACCAAGGTTGTAGCGAAACTGCAAGGCACCATTGACAAAGCCAAGGGCAAGATAGTCACTGTTCGATGTGATTGGCTGGTCTCGTCCACTCCACAGAATCAGACCATTTGCACTCTCTGGCTTCAACGTCAGCTGAATGTCAATTTTAGAACCACTCACTCTGTAAGATAAAAAGACTATGTAAATATACAATCTTACCTTACCTTTTAATACATATTAAACCTTTCCCTGTCTAAACAGTATCCAATGTAAATTTACCTTAGAATCTCTCACACAAATCTTTTTGACATCTGCGACTCTTCCACTGAAAGATGAGTATCCTTAACAAACATATAATCCAATCATCATCATATCAACATCAAAATTGTTAAAGAAAAAACCCCAAAAGAAAATGTCTCTAAGGTATGCTTAGTTTCACTCCTACACAAACTAGAATTTTATCAGGTGTGGAACTTACATATTATACTATGACTTAGATGTGAACCGAATTTGTTCAGAGGTTCTCAAGATGTGACATTGATCCTGGACAGGATGCAAGGGGACAGGACAGGATGCAAGGGGACAGGACAGGATGAGACAAGCGACAGACACGAGTAACACTATATATATAAAATGGTGAGGCAGGAGAACAAAACTTTCTAAAATTTACAGATCTTATCTTTAGATGGACGTTAAAGAAAAGCGTCTTTTGCTAACATGATATTAAATCTATGCCTGTTACTGAGTGATCTATCAGTAGTCTACTATATGGTGAAGACTACTAACCTTTTGTTGATGCTTCGGCCCGTATATAGCAGAAAACTGTGACCATTATATCTGGGCACATAAACAGTCTTCTCAATCTCTGAAATACACAAAAACATTTTAACAGTTAAACATTTCTTTGTGGTATCAACAGGTGGGTGTTGTAAGAAAACTCCTCATCTCGGTAAAATCCTACCTATCGGAGTACGATACTTTAGGATATTTCGGCATTGCCAAAATTTGGTATTTTTTGCAGAAAATGGGTTTGTTGAACTTAAATGTGTCAAATTTTGTACTTAACTATCCTGTGTGTTTAATTTTGAATATTAAATCTATTGTTCTGTTAGTTCATTATACTTTTACATACACAGTGTTGAAAAGCTGTGCCGCTACCTGACAGGATTACCTTGATAACCTGTGTTTGAATTTACTGAGAACATATCAGTATTATACAAATTGTTTTCAGATTCCATCAATCTTTTTTTATTTTGTCTCACCTGGTTGTAAAAGAAAAGCTTGCTCACCTTTTCACATACTTTTTGATTGATAGACATGACACTATCTTGAACAGAACTAATACAAGAATGAATATAAAAACGATGAAGAATTTTACAGCAATCATCTCTGTATCAAGATTGAAATTGTAGAAAGGTGTTATTTATGAAGTGTGACAATATTCCAGCACACATAACACAGCTCTAAGAAATTAGAAATAGCTATATAGTGAATGAATGGGAAGACGGAGAGCAAAAATCCAGATGTTGTTTTTTTTTCATTAAATTTTAGTGTTTTTAATTTTTGATCATTTATCCTGAGTATCATTTATCCTGAGTGTCAAATAAACCAAAATATAATCACATCCAAAATATCCCAAAGTACGGTAGAAAAAACCTCGTACATTCTACATAACTTCCTGAGCGAATTCTCAACTGAATTGTTCTTAATATACAGGACCTACCTTCCTCGCAATTGGTATTGCCATAGCCAAGAGGACAGAAGCACTGATAGACATCCCGGTCTGGAACACACTCCCCACCATTCATACAGGGCTCGCCTAGACAAGGATGTTCACAGCCCTCTATGTTGACACCCTCAGAAGCATCCTCCAGTAGTTGTAGAGGCTGTTCATTGATGATCACCTGACAGAAAAAGAAATACACAGGTTGAAAATAAGGTCAACGATAAATTGTAACCTCAAGAATACCACAGTTAGGACAGGTTTAAAATATTATGCTAAAAAGACCAAATGTTTCATACTTGAAGTAAATTATTGCCCATTTGACAGCTAATTCCTGGTTGTCATGCTTACCTTTTGTATACAGCCCTGAAATGATGTGGTCAGGTTGGCAAGGCGAGAAGTGTGGTCATAGTTCCTGTGTCCCCCAATATACAGGTCCTGGAGCAAAGTTAGTTGAGTGAACGCTCCTTGTGACACCCCTTCCACACGCGGTTGCTCATCCACCTCCATCACACCTCGCAGACCTGTACGAGACACACGCACCCAGTGCCACTGGCCCAGACTCACTTCCTCTACACTCCTGGAATAGGTTAAAGGTTAAGCTTATCTACTCATAATATCACATTTTTTCTCCAAAAAGTCAAGAAGCCAGAATATTACTTTTGACTAAAAGCCAGAGGGTGGGCTTATTGCAGGACAAAGAGATAACATTGGTTTACCATCCAACAAAAAGCAACATTAATGGGAAGGCTTATTACTACCATAGGCTTACTGCTGCATAAATAAGGTAAAAATGAGAGAGAAAATCCATTTTGAATCAAATACGATCAACACTATTAACAGGTTAAAATTACTCTGATCATAACAATCAGAAAAGGCAACCTTCAAGAATTTTTTATGAATAGGAAATGGCTGTGATCAGTTAATATACATACAATCAACACTATTAACAGCTTAGAATCACTCTGATTGTAACAATCAGAATGATGGCTTAAACCTTTCCTTCGTTCAATAAAATATGCTGGAAATTTGTTCCAAGCAACAGCTTGCTGGATCTTAGATTTCAGTGTTAGCTTTACCTGATCACTCCTGGTCCTGTGCCAAGGTCAAAGCAGAACTCCAGATGACCTTCCTTCATGGCCAATGAGAGGAAATCACCCTTTCTGTCCAGTGTGAAACCATTATATAGCAAGGTTCCCTCACGACTTGTGGGTTTGAAGACAATCTCTATCTGCGTGTAGGATAGCGTGGAGCGACCAAGTCCGTTATGTTGTAGATAGGAATGACCACCAAACTCTGGGATACTTACACTGATTTCTGTAACAGAGATACATTAATATCATACTCTGTACAGGTAACTTATATCAAAATAAAGTGGGCCATGTCTCACCTAACCAACATCCTGGCTATTCATCCACACAAAGATTTCAGTTAAAAACTCCCCTCAAAGGTAGTTATGTGTCTGAGAAGCATGCGAGATAAGCTCAAGAGACTCAAATCACTTGCTGAACCAATTTTCCTTTTCTAGTAGCAGCACCTTAATCTGATGATGAGTAATCCCAAGCACATCCTTTCCAACAGGAAACATTTTTTAAGTTTCAGTCTTAGCAGTCAAAACATTTTTTGAAGTGACAAAACCTCCTTATTGGAAATGCAATGGGAAACAAAACGATCAAAAGAAAGGTAGAATTGCTGGTGTGACTTTTTATGTTGGATTATGACCATAGCGTAGTCATTTGTCAAACTTAGTGTTGAAATATGGTGGTGACAAAAACTTAACCTGTATATGCCCTTCACTTTATGCTCTTCACTTTATTTAGATAATCCTTACCATTCAAAATGATATTCAATATGATATGACTAAAGCTGAATTTTTCAGTCATTCTGTGTGGTTTAAATGTTTGTGTTTAGAAACTTTGTCTTAAATATAATTATGTATTTTGTTATGAGATATCTTTCCCCTCATCCCTATTCTTGGAGAGTTGTAGTAGATAACACTTATCTGCCATCTGCTGTTGTTATTATTTACCATAGTGACAGTTGTCTCCCCTTGCTGTAAGATTATTTTCTGCTGGGACAAGTTTTCTACCTTACTGACTGTATATTGATTGTAAGATTTATCAACCTTCCACCAATGGGTGTACATACCATACCAACAGTTCTCTCCCTTTGTTCTGATAGTTTTTTTAAGCTGTCTACAGGAGTGATTTACCTTCCACTAATGGCTATACAAATATCACATGACAGTTTCCTTCCCATGTTCCTCTAGGTTTTTGATGGGCATAGGAGGAGTTATCTACATTTCTCAAAAAATGTACACATACCATACTGACAGTTCTCTCCCCCTGTTCCAAGGGGACACAGGCAGATGTGCTGGTCAGCTGACTTTGCGACACATTTACCTCCCCTTGCACACTGAACCTGGTCACAGACCCCCTCACTGCACTCGCCTAAGGAGAAAAGCAAAGCTTACATACATTATCTGTTTACAGTGTACATACATCAGGTATAGCTCTTCTTAAGGAGTACAACAATATCTACCAAAAGGGTATATAATCATCACATACAAAGGCCTATTAGGAACGTCAATTTCTCTTGTAATCAATAAATGCTGTTGCTCACTGTAAAGAGCTTTTCCCATTTTGCTTCCACTCTAAAGCTGAATAATCGTAAACAAGATTTAAAGGGATCACATCTTGTTGAGAGAGAAGTAAGTTATTTACCTACGTTGAGGCCAAACATTGTATCACCCACTAATTCCTGTTTTCTCAGATCATATCGGTACTCATTGATGACGATTTCCTGGACACAGCCAACGAAGGGTTTTGTGATCCCAACTCGTGGTAACATGGCAGTCATGTTCCTGTAACCGCCAACATACACTGGTAGTCTCAGTGTGATCCGAGAGTATGCACCCTACAGAACAGACAGAAAAAATAACTTCCTTATTAGAATGAACTATGAAGCATAATTTTAATTTTCTTAAAAGTTTAAAATAAAATAAAAATCTTAGTAACACAGACAGAAAATAAATTAACTGATGAAGAGTCCAGTTACTGTCAAGTTATCTAACCTATCTAACAGAATTAGACTCTTTATAAAGCCTATACATTACATTGCTTTATTTAAGTAGAAGAGAGGAACGTATAGGCACCATATAATATTTATCCTTAACGTGTGTATTACACCATTAATGTAAACCATTCCCATTTGTTAAAACAAACCTGAAGTTTACAGCATTATAATAACATTAACCTGTTTATTACAGCATTAACCACTTTATAATAAAATTAACCAGTTTATAGCAGCCATTGCCTTTCTATTACAGCATTCAACTGTATTTTACAGAATTAATCTATCAAAGCAGTAACATTGTATTACAGCAGTAACGTTTGTATTACAGCATTAACCTTTGTATTACAGCATTAACCTTTGTATTACAGCAGTAACTTTGTATTACAGCATTAACCTTTGAATTACATTATCAACCTTTGTATTACAGCATTAACCTGTGTATTACAGCATTAACATTTGTATTACATCATTAACCTATGTATTACAGCATTAACCTTTGTATTACAGCATTAACCTTTGTATTACAGCAGTAACCTTTGTATTACAGCATTAACCTTTGTATTACAGCAGTAACTTTGTATTACAGCAGTAAACTTTGTATTACATCATTAACCTTTGTATTACAGCAGTAACCTTTGTATTACAGCATTAACCTGTGTATTACAGCAGTAACTTTGTATTACAGCAGTAAACTTTGTATTACATCATTAACCTTTGTATTACATCATTAACCTTTGTATTACATCATTAACCTTTGTATTACAGCAGTAACTTTGTATTACAGCAGTAAACTTTGTATTACATCATTAACCTTTGTATTACATCATTAACCTTTGTATTACATCATTAACCTTTGTATTACAGCAGTAACCTTTGTATTACAGCATTAACCTTCGTATTGAAACAATAACCAGCAGAAACTCTATAACACATTTTTATTGGCAAAGATTACACCATCACAGGAGTCCTGAAGTGATCTATATGTATCACAGCTTACTTAAATACTTACTCACAAAGAAGTAAACTGGTTGCCAATACAAGGTTGTTTAGGAAGGAATTCAGAAGTTTAAAAAATCAATACTTGATCTTTTTATACATTGTTTGATGATGTATAGAATTTCAGGTATAGACCCAGAGGAATATCAATCTATAACAAAGCTATTTTAATGTGCCCAGTAATATCTCAGTGTAAGATGTATAAACAGCAGCCATGGATGTGCCCAAAGTTTCTTCAGTCTATACTTGTAAAGGTATACAGCCACTGAATAAAATTTGCATTGGAAATGGCCCAGGCATCAAAACAGTACAAATGCAAAACTCAATATTTGGATATAGGCATGCCAAGTCTTAGATTGAGTTGAGGTTCATGTGTGTTGCCTCCCAGAGATTTGAATGTAACAGACTAAAAGTACTGATTTCTGCCATTAGTGACTAACAGACTAATTACTTTCTAAATAGAGAGCACTTTAGTGCATCCTCTTTTACTAGCTAAATGTCAACCCTTCAAAATAATGCTTAATCTGTGCTATTGTCAAGATTTTTGTGTATCTTACTTTAAGAGGAAATGGTACAAAGGGCCTGTAAGCTCAAGTGAATGTGTAGTGGTGTCGGACTAAGGACATGCTAGACTATCACTGACAAAAACTCTATGCTAACATAGCATTTTCCGATCATTCTCTCAAGCTTATCGTCACATATCCTCTGGGATATCTTGCGATACCAATATCCTCATCCTCAAAGTGTTCATCTATTTCCTGTGTATGGAGGAAACATGAATATTTATCTCCCGAATGTTTGATATTAATGAAATTGTAATACATGTATAAGGTGTATTCATATAGAACTTACCTTGGAGAATCCAACAACCATCTCTCCATCGTTGAGTCGGAGAGAGCCCTCGTTATCCACCCTACGGGCATGTACTCTGTTCCAGTTGCCCATGGTGACTTGTACTTTACTTCTCAAAATGGCTGGTCCTGTTCCACAATCATACCTTCAACACAGAGGGCAATGCATCTTTAATGTCATCCCTATTGGTCACATAAACACAAGCCCAACTCACTTGAAAGCATGTATCATTTTGGTCTATATTGAGCTTTACTCTCAGTGTATGAAGTATGTTCATTTAACTTCACTACATTCCCCTATCAAAGACAAAGCTAGGGACTATTTAACTCTAAGCAATCCTGATATAACTTAAAGCCCTACCCAGCTTTCACTTTCTATTATCTATTCAGTACATGTATAATCTGCTCCCCAGTTTTTGTCTTCTACTGCATACAAATCTTTCAGATCCTATATGAGACAAGATATTTACGGGAAACACTTTTTACCTGGTGAAGGTAAAGTTGTTGCAATGACCTTCATGTGATATATTTATTTCCTAAAGATGTAATAATACAAGAGAAATGCTCCAGAACCATTAGAAACAATGCATTACTCATAAAGTTACAAGGTCAAACAATAGTAATAGTTACTGGTGTATCGGGTACCTACTTCTGACACCTGTGGGTAGGGAACATTGAACCACTGATCAAAGGTCAAATGACATCATGATAACCTAATGTCATACCTGATAAAGCACCTTATATACAGTTTAACTGGACACCATCTTTTTTAATGTACTATTGAGTTTCCATATAGAATATGCTTATTATTTGTGTAAATCATAAATGGTTATGATACTTAAAATCCAAAAATATTGTGGGTTTTGAAAAATTGCTGATGGAGGAGATGAAGGTGTCAAAAGAGTACAAAACCATGAATAAAAACTAACAGTAATGGTAATTAACATAGTATGTCTAAATACAGAGAATTGACAATCAACAGATTTATACCAGTTCTAAAGACTGATTTCAAATATTGTGTTTACAAAGGTGGGCTGTAAGCATATAGGTACAAGAGTTTATTTTGCATATGTGAAACTCTTAAGTTTCCTGAGAATATGAGAAAGACTGAAGATTGTAGCAAGAGCTTTACTAGGATGTTACACTGAAGTCCTCTCATTGATCAGAAAGTTCTTTATGGGAATGAAAGCATAAGGCTAGTGTAGTGAAACATTGCAGTCAATCAGAAGGCTCAAACATGGCTAGCGTTTATACAATAACCAATGACAAGGGATCAGATAGAACAATAATACTGCCATTAAACAAGTGTTATAGAACCCAAAGGTCTGATCAACTATTCCTTGGGCCATCCTTAGCCAAGTCAACTTCATTTAGAGTAGACTGCAGTCTTTTCATACAAATAGAATCAATTAAAACGCTCCTTATAGGTATGAAAACTACCCTAATTAGGAAGTCCCTTGAGATGTGCTATAAAAGCTCTACCACAAGTCTCCGTTGATGTTTTGCCATTCTTTCATCCTAAAGCATTGCACCATTTACTTCCCCATAAGACTCTCAAGGGATGCGAGATTCCAACACTGGAGTCCCAGTGAGCTCTGTGACAGTATACCATCAGTTGTAGCATGAGTAATTCACAGGATAGTAAGCTTACTGGTCCATGCTCTTTGATTGCATGTGTACATAGTAGAACAAAAATACCAACACTTACAAATATACATTATTAAGTAAATGTCACACGGTTCATTTTGGCAGCCTGAATAAGGCTGTAATGAGGAAGATGGTGACAGGCCCGCTGCCCATCATTACCGTCTCTACCACAAACATGTTGACTATGGAGTCAACAAGGGGAAAATTCTACATACAGAACTATTTGTAGATTGTTACAAAATTTTGATAAAACTGCTGCAATTTCTGGTATAAAATCAGTGTCATTATGCCAATCAACACTCCCATTCCTTTATTGATTGTAACCACAACACTTACACCAGCAATCATCCACTTTGTAGGTTTAGTTGAGAATGAAACTGTCTCCTGATTGAGCTGTTATGTAGCTATGACAGGGACCTGGTCCACCACATGTCTATCAACATTACCCTGATTGGACACTCATGAGCGACAAATTACTAGTTTATTTTCTTATTTATCCTGTTGAACATATCTGTGGGACATCACTCAATGATGCCCAGATGTGACTATGAAATATTTCTGTTCCCTTTGTCTGTTAAATCATTTCTCAACATATGCAGTTCTGGCTACTTTTCCAATACAATCATCTGGCCACCACATGCGGACCCTGCTAATTACACCTCCATTTAAACCACTTGGCATATCATAACATATGGATCCTCACATCTTCTCATTAAATATTATCCTGACCTCTCAACACCACCTGTAGATCCTTACATCTCCCCATTAAATATTATCCTGACCTCTCAACACCACCTGTAGATCCTTATATCTCCCCATTAAATATTATCCTGACCTCACAACACCACCTGTAGATCCTTACATCTCCCCATTAAATATTATCCTGACCTCTCAACACCATATGTAGATCCTAACATCTCCCCATTAAATATTATCCTGACCTTTCAACACCATATGCAGATCCTCACATCTTCTCATTAAATATGTTTCTGACCTCTCAACACCACCTGTAGATCCTTATATCTCCCAATTAAATATTATCCTGACCTCACAACACCACCTGTAGATCCTTACATCTCCCCATTAAATATTATCCTGACCTCTCAACACCACCTGTAGATCCTCACATCTTCTCATTAAATATTATCCTGACCTCTCAACACCACCTGTAGATCCTTACATCTCCCCATTAAATATTATCCTGACCTCTCAACATCACCTGTAGATCCTTACATCTCCCCATTAAATATTATCCTGACCTCTCAACACCACCTGTAGATCCTCACATTTTCCCATTAAATATCATCCTGACCTCTCAACACTACCTGTATATCCTCACATCTCCCCAACAAATACCCTGACTTCTTCCCATCACATATGGATCCTCGCCTCTACCTATCAAATATTACTCTGACCTCTCCCCATCACATATGAATCCTCAATCTCCCCGACAAATACCTTGACCTCTCCCCATCACATATGGATCCTCACATTTCCTTGACAAATACCCTGACCTCTCCCCATCACATATGGATCCTCAATCTCCCTGACAAATACCCTGACCTCTCCCCATCACATATGGATCCTCAATCTCCCTGACAAATACCCTGACCTCTCCCCATCATATATGGATCCTCAATCTCCCCGACAAATACCCTGACCTCTCCCCATCACATATGGATCCTCAATCTCCCCGACAAATACCCTGACCCCTCCTGACATATAGGATCCTTACATCTCCCTTTCAAACAGTATATTGATTTCTCACTACCACATGTGGATCCTGTAGTCTCACTACCACATATGAATCCTGCAATCTTAGCAGTAATAATACACGAAAGTCAGAATAAACAGAGAGACAGTAATAATACATGATTATACATGGAGACGTGATACACAATGAAATACAAAGGTTAATTATACACAGTAGAGAAAGCACCAACTGTAACATAGACAGACAAAATGGTTTAGTCAGTATAATGAGTTACTAGGCCCTGTGAGAGTAGCACTACAACCAACGTATAATTGAATCAATGTCTTTACTGTCTTCAGGTCCCCAGGTAATGTCACAATAACTAACCCAATCACAGCCCTGTTAGGTGACAAGAATAATTTGCTACTCCTCAGCCTGTGTCTATTGTAACCTTACTAGGGGTTTATAGATCATGTAATTATGGAGTGCCGGTAACAAGTACGGTTATACTGGACTCTGCTGCGAGTGACAGAATTCCCCATGTGTAAGCTATGGACATAACAAATACCAACCTGAACTCCACATATCCATTGATGAGAGTAATGGAAAAGAAATCAGACTTGGTGTTGGTGTTCTCAGCTGTGAACAGTAGTAAACCGTTGTTGGCCTGTGGTTTGAAGTCTATCTGGATATCAAATTCTTTGTAGCCAGTCTTCAGTACAGGAAGTGCAAGGTAACCATTTCCAAGGAACTTGGGAAACCGCACCACTGTTTCTGAAACACACAAAGTCAGTGGTACTTCTAAAATTCTTGACTATATACAGAAATATGTTGCAGACATAAAATAGGATATTTAAAGAGACTTCACGCAGAACAAACAAAACTTCTAACTGTGTATGAGTTGTGGTTACATCTTAGGCAACAAATTTTACAACAAATTTGCTTATTTTCTTATCTGTGTTATTCTTCTGATAGAGAGGACAGTTAATATCTATAAAATTGGATTTGTAAGATGACATGATTACAATGCAACACACAAAACTGCAGCAGCAATCATATACGACCATTTGTCAGCATCACACACACGCCCCTGTGTCAGCATCACACACATGGCCCTGTGTCAGCATCACACATGCCCTTGTGTCAGCATCACACACATGGCCCTGTGTAGGCATCACACCCATGGCCCTGTGTCAGCAGCATCACACACACGCCCCTGTGTCAGCATCACACACATGGCCCTGTATCAGCATCACACACATGGCCCTGTGTCAGCATCACACACATGGCCCTGTATCATCATCACACACATGGCCCTGTGTCAGCATCATACATAACCCTGTGTCAGCATCACACACAACCCTGTGTCAGTATCACACATAACCCTGTGTCAGCATCACACACGCCCCTGTGTCAGCATCACACATAACCCTGTGTCAGCATCACACACATGGCCCTGTGTCAGCATCACACACATAACCCTGTGTCAGCATCATACATAACCCTGTGTCAGCATCACACACATGGCCCTGTGTCAGCATCACACATAACCCTGTGTCAGCATCACACACATGCCCCTGTGTCAGCATCACACACAACCCTGTGTCAGCATCACACACATGGCCCTGTGTCTGCATCATCTACAAGATCCTGTGTCATTATCACACACACGGACCTGTGTCAGCATCACACACATGGCCCTGTGTCAGCATCACACACATGGCCCTGTGTCAGCATCACACACATGGCCCTGTGTCAGCATCACACACATGTCCCTGTGTAAACATCATATAGAAGATCCTGTGTCATTATCACACATAACCAATGTCAGTATCAAACAAACACAGCCATGTGTCACTTGCACTCTTCTTGCAGTGTTGACTGTGTGGTGTTGACAGTGAAGTCTTCACTACACTAAACTTCAATTACACGGCTAATTGAGGGAACCTGTCTGCTGTTGTACTGCATCATCCATGTTAAGTAGATAATTTGGAGGTATTGATAGTAGAGGGAAGCCCTGTGCATCCATACCTGAGATCACTAATTAATGAAATTCAACCAATCCACCCTGGCTAAGACATTTGTTAGTCTGACCAAAGTCCATGTCCCCTTGTGATAGACATAAGCCCATTCTTTAATTAACACATCTAAACCCCAACTAACCTAATCACAGCTCCAAACCCAAGGCTTTTAGATCTAATACAAGCTAATTCTGTTTGAAATGAAATTGGTACTAGCTTATTTCTCATTACACCACAAACTTGATCTGAAGACACACAACACAACTCCTCAACAGAATAAAATCATTATTAAATGGATCACATGTATTTAACACTGTCTTTATTCCTTATTGTAATGGATATTTCAGGAGTACAGAAACAGGTCCAAATTTACTATATATGGTTTTTAATGTAGACCTGGGGACATCCAGATTCTGTAACATTTAAGGTAGACCTGGGGACATCCAGGTTCTGTTATATCTAATGTAGACCTGGGGACATCCAGGCTCTGTTATATCTAATGTAGACCTGAGGACATCCAGGTTCTGTTGTATCTAATGTAGACCTGGGGACATCCAGGTTCTGTTGTATCTAATGTAGACATGGGGACATTCAGGACAGAGTTCTATCAGATTAATGTAGACATGGGGACATTCAGGACAGAGTTCTGTCATATTAATGTAGACATGGTGACATTCAGGACAGAGTTCTGTCATATTAATGTAGACATGGGGACATTCAGGACAGAGTTCTGTTATATTAATGTAGACATGGGGACATTCAGGACAGAGTTCTGTCATATTAATGTAGACATGGGGACATTCAGGACAGAGTTCTGTCATATTAATGTAGACATGGGGACATTCAGGACAGAGTTCTATCATATTAATGTAGACATGGGGACATTCAGGACATAGTTCTGTCATATTAATGTAGACATGGGGACATTCAGGACAGAGTTCTGTCATATTAATGTAGACATGGGGACATTCAGGACAGAGTTCTATCATATTAATGTAGACATGGGGACATTCAGGACATAGTTCTATCATATTAATGTAGACATGGGGACATTCAGGACAGAGTTCTGTCATATTAATGTAGACATGGGGACATTCAGGACAGAGTTCTGTTATATTAATGTAGACATGGGGACATTCAGGACAGAGTTCTGTCATATTAATGTAGACATTGGGACATTCAGGACAGAGTTCTGTCATATTAATGTAGACATGGGGACATTCAGGACAGAGTTCTATCATATTAATGTAGACATGGGGACATTCAGGACAGAGTTCTATCATATTAATGTAGACATGGGGACATTCAGGACAGAGTTCTGTCATATTAATGTAGACATGGGGACATTCAGGACAGAGTTCTGTCATATTAATGTAGACATGGGGACATTCAGGACAGAGTTCTGTCATATTAATGTAGACATGGGGACATTCAGGACAGAGTTCTGTCATATTAATGTAGACATGGGGACATTCAGGACAGAGTTCTGTCATATTAATGTAGACATTGGGACATTCAGGACAGAGTTCTGTCATATTAATGTAGACATGGGGACATTCAGGACAGAGTTCTGTCATATTAATGTAGACATGGGGACATTCAGGACAGAGTTCTGTCATATTAATGTAGACATGGGGACATTCAGGACATAGTTCTGTCATATTAATGTAGACATGGGGACATTCAGGACAGAGTTCTGTCATATTAATGTAGACATGGGGACATTCAGGACAGAGTTCTATCATATTAATGTAGACATGGGGACATTCAGGACATAGTTCTATCATATTAATGTAGACATGGGGACATTCAGGACAGAGTTCTGTCATATTAATGTAGACATGGGGACATTCAGGACAGAGTTCTGTCATATTAATGTAGACATGGGGACATTCAGGACAGAGTTCTGTCATATTAATGTAGACATGGGGACATTCAGGACAGAGTTCTGTCATATTAATGTAGACATTGGGACATCTCCAACAGAGTTCTATCATATTAATGTAGACATGGGGACATTCAGGACAGAGTTCTATCATATTAATGTAGACATGGGGACATTCAGGACAGAGTTCTGTCATATTAATGTAGACATGGGGACATTCAGGACAGAGTTCTATCATATTAATGTAGACATGGGGACATTCAGGACAGAGTTCTGTCATATTAATGTAGACATGGGGACATCTCCAATAGACTTCTGATTTACTTGTTTAGGACAAGAATCACGTGCATGGTTTGTTTGCGCCATGTTTCTAAATATGACAGAGTTTCTTGTTTCCATCTCTGCAGCATGCTGCTCATGATAGCTTTACTAACAACCATTTTTCAGATATAATTACATCATGATTCTCCAAAAACATCCATTAACCAAACCACAGCATACAAAAGATTAAACATGGTGATAATAATGAAGCTATTTCACAGAATATTACTTCTTCCCGTCCAAAATACTGCTGTTTGTTTTTAAAAATGAAATTGAACAATTATATATGTTCAGGATATTTTTCCAGGTTTGTGTAGAAATCTATCTCTCCTCCAGCATGCTGCTCATGATAGCTTTACTAACAACCATTTTTCAGATATAATTACATCATGATTCTCCAAAAACATCCATTAACCAAACCACTCTTCGCTGAGGGAACTTAGCAGAACAGATTTTTTGTCCATTAAAACATTTTCGACCATCAATACTTGACATGCCCTAGACCACCAAGTATTTTACATATAATATTTCTCTAACACATCAATCTGGATTTTGAGGTGTCTAATGAGAGTTTAATTTATAAAAAATAAGTAACATGAAAAAGTCAACAGACAAATCATTCGATGACATGAAATGATTTTTTGAGATTATTTGGAGAGATGAAAAAGGATATATGATGATCACAAGCTGATAACATGACAATTTGGATGAGACGTGAAGATAATGAATTTTTTGTGTGTTAAAATAGGATTCACTGCATCCGTCTGATAACCGTAGCGTGTCTAAACAACCGCTATTACAATAATTACACGATAACCACTCCAGTACATGTGACATAGAGATTAATATCCATTTACTGTTCATAAAGCATATCACATCAAATATATGTTAACAAGAGTTATAATAATGCTGATACATGTATATATATATTCTAAATTAATTAAAAACCGCTGAAATTTTCCTTTTTAAGGGTATTAAGGACATTCTGATATCAATTTGGCTGTATATTATAGAATAATAGCCTAGAGGTCAGTTATACCCCACATACAAACAGAATATACATAGATACTTACGTTTTTCACACCTACGTCCTGAAGAGCCTATAGGACAGTTACATCGCACAATACTCCCATCCAACACACAAGTACCATTATTTTGGCAGAGGACGCCATGACAGGTAGGTCGATGGACCAGAGACAAAGGTGCTCCCACACCTTGTACCACATCACCATTAGTGTCTTTTACTGTTTTTTCTTTGAGGTCAAACATTTCTGCCACAATGTGGTCATTTGTGTTAAGTGCCATGTCATGGTCATTGTCCTGAGACAGGGAATTTGTTTGGTCATTTGCATGTCCAGTTTGATCTTTCTGATTGATCTGTCCAGCAGGTTTTATCACAAGTTGCTCAGAAGATGACAATGAAATGAAGGCAGATGAGGATGGTGATGATGAGCCTGAGTTGAGCACCTCGTCTACAACAGGGCCATCATTAATGCCAGGAATCTCTGTAACAAAACACCAAACAAATGTACATACATTTCAAGACTGTAAAATTTGAATCCTGAGCAATTAACAAAGCTGTATATACTTCAGAAGATTTTCAGTCAATTATTATTTTTTTTTCTTTTAAGAAGCAGTTCATTGGTCTTCATACAATAATACACTAACATATACTGAAGACTTGAAGCACGTTTTAGAGTTTATTCTCTTTTCCATCAATTCTCACAGCATTATTTCAGCTAAGTGTGTATATAGTAGATTTTGACATATATTTGGGATAATTTTAAACAAACTGAGATTTAATCTTTACTCAAGTTAAATGTCAAGGAATGTTCTCAAATATCACAGAAGCAATTTGCATTCAACAAAATACTAGCCAGAAGATAGGGGAGAGACATGCGCAAAAATTGAATCAAGTCCTAAAGAGTCAAAAAACTATCACAGAAGCAAAAATAAAAACAAGTAGAAAGATCAGGTATGAGAAAATAGAAATTAAATCAAGTAGCAATGAAGTTGAAAAATTAAATCAAGCACTGAAGAGGTTATTAAGTCTAATAACACAGAATTATGCCGAACCAAATGCTGGCCAATTTGGAAGACGGTGGCTGAAAGTAACAGTAAAGCAACATTGGTAAAGGTGTAAGTAACAATTGGATGTATGATGATCCAGACGAAAGGCCTTGGAACCTCCTGTTTCTTCTACATGATCTAATCTAGTCCCTAAATAAAACACCATTATCTATCAGACAGCCACCCTCATTGTAGTCCCAAGGGTAAACATAATAGCTGTTCCTTACGCCTCTCATCTGGTTAACTCGCTCTGGTTTTTACATGGTCAGTGTAAGTTATATTCGATGGAAGAAGACCTTTCTCTATTACAATTGTGTAGTGATATGGAAATCTCATAATGGGTCTACTTCAATAATTTATGAAATTTGCTAAAAGAATCTTGGAATCTGCATTTTCCATTTAATTTAAATATTCCTGGAAGTTGTTAATCTAGTGATGCAGTGATAAATACATAATACATAACTGTCAACTTGTTCTATAGTCCATATACCATATTCTCTAACATCTTCATGAAATCATATCAGGTCTCTAGTATGCCTCAACAGTCACTAAAGTACCAGGCCTCAAATTTAAGGCTTTTTACTGGCTATTTGCAAGTAGAAATCCAAGAATTGCAAGTAGAAAAAATAATGACTTGCTTTTTTCAGCAAGTGGATTCATCAGATGCAAACTGTGAGTGCCTGTCTATTCCTAACATTTCACAGAATTAAATTGTTTTGATTTTCAATGTGTAAATATTGGGACAAAGCAATTCTTCTATAATGTTGATATATATTGGATGAAGCAAGGTAATACATTATAAATCACAAAACAAAACACATTATTTGAACATGGTGATTTGCGATAATAGCAAGTAAAAAGTCATTTTAGCAAGTACAAATTTAAGGCACTTGCTGTTTCTCAGTCGAGGCCTGAGTACTTCAGTAGAAACACACTATTGGTTTATTCTGGTACTTGCTCTTCTATGTAATGTTCGATCATGCTTTCAGTTCGAGGTGCATCTTCCATACTGAAGCCTGGTAAATACACATTATGTTAAGCTTCGCTCAAGACACAAGGCTTACAAAGCTTTCTGTGGTTGTCACCAAGACCATATTACAAATGTTTCTTAAATCATGGGAAAAAAATCAGACGAAAAAATAGATGAAATAGTAATATTAGCAACTGCGAGTTCACCAACAAAATGCTGTTGAAGCGTATCTATGTGTTATATTTTGCACACACTGCAGACAAGTTTCCTTCCAAACCAACACACAAAATGTAATTATACATTCTAATCTTCTATTAAAGATTCTTATATCATTATAATACATGTATAACGACCCTTGAGAAAATGTAGTTAATTTTAGTTACTTCTTTTTATTAATCAATTTTCAAACCATCAAACACTCCTTGATTACGCAGGTAATTGAAACAGATTTTTAATTCTTTCTTTGCAAAAACACAAAATCTCAATGTGATTTTGGTCGATATGGACCCCCTCCAGAGAGAAATGTCACAGACAAATACTTCCTCTTCAGAGAGCAGTGTAAGATTCAAGGATAATGAATTTCACAATTTTAACAAAGCACTTTTCATCCTTGAAGAATAATTAATTCTGATATATCTGAGTCTGCAGCAAAACTTCAAAATTTTAGCCAATTTGGCCATTTCAGTCTGTACTCTATGGGTTTTTTTCCCCATACATCATTTAGGCTATTTGAATACTTAATTCTACCCTAAATTTTCTGCTGGTGTTAGATGAAAATGTACTGTCAAACCTGCTTTAACGACCACCTGAATTAAACAACTTCCTGTCATATGTGACAATAATTTTTTCCTCCCAATGTCATTCATTATACAAATGACATGAATTAAACCACCACCTATGTGACGCACCATTATTTGAGTGTCCCAAATACCCAAAACAACCTTTTCCATGTAACTTTCTGAAAGTGACCAGGCTCTCATAAATGTCAATACAATTTTGCAGCACAAAATGATAGATGATCCAGCGACAGTCACATATCCTGTAAGTCATGCTACCGTAGCAGTTTTATTTACCAATAAAATTAACGCAATTCTCTAATTTGATATGATTAACCCGTAACTAGTTGCTCTTTCTGTAAATGAATGGAAATATTGTATATCACAAACAAATAGCCACAAAAGTGTAAATACCACACTGATGTGCAAATTAACTCATTTTTGGCATCATGATTTATGGTCAGAACACAAGACATCACAATGGATTTCATGGAGAGAATGGGCTTTGTATGGTCATTAAAACATACTCCTGGCTTTATAGGAGAGGATTCTTATCTTATAAACCATGGCTTTTATCAGAATCATGGAATCTTAAGAAAAAATTAATACTGGTGAATGAAAAAAAAGCGATAAAAAGTGGTTGTTAAAATAATCTGTAGCCAGTGTTCAATTCTCATTTTTTTCTTGTTCTAATTGTTTGGGCCTTACTATGGGTCCTTACTATGAGTCCTTACTATGGGTCCTTACTATGGGTCCTTACTATGGGTCCTTACTATGGGTCCTTACTATGGGTCCTTACTATGGGGCCTTACTATGAGTCCTTACTATGAGTCCTTACTATGGGGCCTTACTATGGGGCCTTACTATGGGGCCTTACTATGGGTCCTTACTATGGGTCCTTACTATGGGTCCTTACTATGAGTCCTTACTATGAGTCCTTACTATGTCATCGGCAGTAACTGTGAAATTTTTGGTATACATGTACTAAGACTGCTGTGGGTAGGTGACTTAACTTGGTCTTTATTGTTTACCAACGGCACAAAATAGAAGATGGGACTGGCTACCTTGGTGTGCTTCAGGTGATAATTAACAAATAATAAGTATCACAAGGAACAGCAGAGATGTCAATTACAGACTCATAGGGTTACAGCTGACAAAATTTATTTTAAGCGAAAAAACATGATTATATTCGATATTTCATATTGAACTACATCATAGCAAAAACTGCTTTTTTTTAACTTAATGTAAATAGGAAATATTTTTCACAATAAAGAATTGAATTAGATTTCTTTTAATTAAGAGAGCACCTGGTACATGTGACCTTGTATAATGCTTCCCTTTGAAGGTTACTTAGGACAGGTTTAACTGAACTGGTAATAAAAACACTTGGTATATTCTAGGCTATGGCAGTTTGTTTTGTGCACTATTTTTCTGGATATCTGTTAGGTTTTCGGTGAACTGTTTTCAAACCTAGATCTTGAGAAGAAGATATTCATATCACTTGTTAATAGTAGGATGACAGACAATACATGACAATAAAAAAGGACAGAACTTCAGCTGAGGTAAAACCAAACAGAATTTAGGGCAGACTTTCTTGCATTTGAGCTCATTATTGATTATTTGATGTACTGTAGACATAACTGTATACTTGTCAAAGGTCACTCAGTAAACTGGAGATCTCCAGCTTAAAGACCACACATAACATAGTGATAAGGTGTGAATAACAGTTCAAAACACAATTATTGACATTTTGAACTGAAATTTTACTGCTTTAAATATCACACAATTATTTACTCAGAAATCACTATTACAAGCTTCAATACTGCCCAGGTAAAATAATTTCAGAATCATTTCAAGCTGATGTACTGAGTGAGCAAGGTTTCTCTTTCTGGTAGGACTTGTCCATATATCAGCAGTGTAATTCTGTATGGCTCCATTCTTTGGGACTAATTAAATACAAGGCAGTGGTGTACATGACCTAACTGTCAAATACAGATGCATTTCACCAACAGGCCAGTGCAGTGGTGTCTAGGGGACGGTGAAGTGTTCAATTGAACACAAATCAGGTGAGATGTATTGTGGCCGACTACTGAATGACATTGTAATGTAAACTACCAGACCAGAAGCAATGAGACAACCCGAGCTCCACAATTGATTTCTAGGAAATATGGAAAGTGGATGGAGGGTGCCAGAATGTGACATCAACTATAACTCATGGGCATGATCTCAGTGGCCAGTGTGTAGGAGTCAGCTGAGGTCAGTCAAGGTCAGCAAGTCATCATCATCAGGAAATCTCCCTTACTGATCACATAATCCATTCACTTGTGTTAAAGGCTTCTTAGCTGCGGCTTATTGAAGTGTGGTTTGTCAAGATTTCCAAAATTTCTAATCCTTCTCTTCAATTCTTTTCCCCAAAAATTCTTACTATAGTTTTAGTGCATACATGAACATACAACAAGAATTCAACAGAATTATGTCTCACTACCCCCATTTTGACTTTCTAACATGACTAAATGTTACATAGCATTAATTAAAGAGAAGAGTAAACAGAATTTCAAGCCTATTTATATGTCTTAAGTTTTTGACAATTCTCAAAATCCCCAAACACTTCCTGATTTTTGCAAAATACTCCAGGACCAATTATCAAATCTGATAATTTGAGTTGTAAACATTGAATTATCAAACTGTA